TTGCCTCTCACTCAGAAAAAAAAAAGTGGAATCAGGTCATTTATTCTCATATTTTCTTTTATGTTTGAAGGTAATTATAATGAGTAAACCTCTGTTGCACCTTTAAAAAAAAGCTTGTGTCTGTGTGTGGAGGTGTACCAAGTAAACAGCCTTTGGTTCACTCTTTAAAGCAGCACTGATTGATGTATGAGCTGAGAAGAAGAAGAAGAAAAAAAGAACACATTTCATCTTATAAAGTTGTGGATTGTTGCATCGAACAGACACAGAGCAACACGTCCAAAACTTTAATCAGGAGACGGATATATGTCCAATGTTCACTCCTACGTTAGCTTTGGTTTTTGAACACACTGAGGGAAATATCAGCTCTTCAGCAGATGAGGGGGGGTTCTGTGCTGGAAACAGCTGTGTTGCAAAAAAAGCAGTGATGTGAGAGTGAATCCAAAGAGTGAAGCTGTGGGCTGTTAATGCAAAACAATGAAAGATGAAAAACAAAATGCTCAGTAGGGTTGAAGGAATGAATTGCAGAACTGGATCAGAATTTTCTGTGGGTTCTTATGAAAACAATTATATATTCCATTTAAAAATTTCCACAACACTCCATAAGATGAAGCCGGTATAGCGCATGAATGGATGGATGGTTTTTTTAAAAACATACTGTCACAGACATGTAAATATCTTCTGCACACACAGCTCAGTTCTTCAGACTGCAGATGAAAAACTAGAAACTGGCCATAAGCTGGAATACACGCTGGCTGGGTAGAGATATTGTGTGAGGAGAGGGACAGATAAGACAAAACGAAAAGAAGAAAACATACTCGGAACCAGACTTGAGGCATGGATCACCCCGTCTGCAGGAACCAGATACACTGCCTGCGAGCGGGTCTTTGTACGGAGAGCCAAGCTGGCAACATCTCCTGGAGTTACTCTAATTACTTTAAAGATATCCATCCTGTAGCTGCAGGACAGACGCTGCTTGGGCAGTCATGGCAGAAACAGTTTTATTATCTGTTAAAATGAAGCGTGAAAGCTGCTCCACGCTCAGAGGCCACGGAGCTGACTGTTTGCAGTGTTCGTCCACGCGAGAATCGTGGGTTTCTATCGAATCTGCAGTTACTGCGCTGCATCTGGGGGATTTTAGCACACCTCCGGATTGCGAATTAGCCGAGCATTGAACGATCACCATCGATTAGGTCTGTGCTTGGCTTTTCCTCGCTCTTCGGGGGCTCCAGTTGGATATCCCCTCCCACCCTCCTTCTGCGCGCTGCACCTGAACGGCTGCTGCTCGTGCGTCAGAACATGGCATCTGATTCCGTAGACCTCTCTCTCTCCTCTCTCGCTCTCTGTGGAGCTGCCTGCAGACCGAGTCGACCTGGCGAAGCGTCCACAGGTTCTCCTACAGCCAGTCCTCTCTGCAGGCACCACGTGTTTATCGCACAGCAGCAGCACAAGGAGCAACTTTTTTTGGAGATATTTTTACGCACAGATTCCCAGCTTTGGAGACGCGGGCGAGAATTTCGTCCTTCTTCCGTCCGCGTGTGTTTTTCTTCATTTGTTTTTGCTCAAACTTCAAGAGGCAACATGCAAGTTTATGTGATTGTGATATTCGCTTATGGAGTGTCGGGTAAGTTCACCAACTCCTCACCAAATTCGTTGTAGTTCAGTCGTTGCCTCTGAATTCACTACAGTTTTAAAACTGCTGCTTTTTAAAGAAGCTGCCTTGAGGTTTGAATCGATATTTCTAATGTGTGACCAGTGACAGAGGAGAAAAAGAGGAAGGCAATTTGACATTGTTTGGTCCTGTAACTCTTGCAGTATATTTGGTTTTACACAAGTGAGGATTTCTTTGCTCATAAGTGCCCATCATCTGGATGAGGAGGTGATTGTAATCAGGAGGAGGCACTTCAGTTGATGCTCAGTTAATGTGTTGTGATATATCACAATGTTGTGCATGCAGAGCTGAAGATGTTTGTTGTTTCGTATGCATGTTGTGTGAATTTGCCCAGTAGTGATGTTACTTTGATTATGTCAGGAATGGATCCCTGGTATTCTTCATTTGAAGTATTTTTAAGATTGTTTGCATGAGCAGTGCAGTGCAGCATCAATCAGTGCTCTGACAGAAAATGTGAGAGCTGTTTTCAGTCACTGTCCGGCCTTTGTGTGTCATCCTGCATTAAGAGATGAGTGCAGAGTAAAAGTTCTGCGTCATACCCAATGAAAGGTTTTCAAACACTGATTTCATTTAAATTTAAAGCAGAACCACTGCATAAATAGAGTTACAATGGACAGAGAAATGTCCTGGAGCACCTGAATCTGACGTGTACTTTAGACATCCTGGATAGATTTTTCAGTTTGGCTGTTAATTACTTTAGTTCAAAGGAATATTCTCAAACTTCAGTATTTTCTGTTTAATGGGGGCGGCTGTTGTCAACACATGCATACTGCTCATGCACTTGTGACCCGGTAAGACCGTCAAGGTAGGAATCGGTTTTCTTTGATTGCATTCTGGCTAGAACTGTGCAAGCAAGATCTGAGGACAAAAAAAGGCTATGCAAAATCACAACTGGCCCTGCTGTGTGCCGCCTTGTGAAAAATGGATCTGTTGCAGGAGGATGCAACCCCTACAGAGTCTAGTTTCTCTGCTGTCACAGTCTAACCAATGAGATGAACTCGAACTCTATTAATCCCGAAGGAAAATCTTCTAAGGATTGTTGCTCAGAAAAAATATACAAGAACAAGGAGAAATGCAATCCCTAACAGAATAGAAGTGAGATACATGTGTGATACATCGGTAAAAATAAATGTAAAGAAAAACTGGAATGGAAAAAAGTGAAGTAATAAAACAATATTGCAGATGATAATCAAATATAGCACAGACAAGTGTCGTGTGCAGAGGATACGAGGCAGTGTCCGTAACACTGAGTGGTTTCCTCAGCATCCTCCTCTCTGACTGCTCTACCAAAGACTCCAGCTCCACTCCCGGCTGGAGCCTGAAGCTCACAAACCAGTGCGCCAAAGATCCAGCCAAACCCCGATTCACACTCACCCAGCCCAAACACGGTGCAACAATAAGGGTCACATTTCTTGTTTGTTTTTGGCACAATGCCTTTCACTGTCTGCATTAGCTGTTGTTAGACCTCAGCATATTGGCACGTGACGGAGGCAGTCATTGAGAGAGAGATTAAGCCTATTTAATGTGATTTCTCTTGTGTTTTCCTTTTCTTCACCAAAGCAAAAAGATCACAGACTGAACCTCTGTCCTGCCAGTTGGGCGTTTTTATCAACCATGTGTCAAAATCCAAGCAAGACAGAAATCCAGTTGTGTCACAATGCTGGATTTTTATAGTTGAACTTCAGTCCAGTGTAGGTCAGGAAAGTTTGTATGGGTTGTCTTTCCGTGATGATTTGTAGATTATAAATACAGATATAGAAGAGACTGAAGCTTTGATGGTCAAAGAAGTGCAAACTTTGAACAGCAGTTCATCTGAAAACTTCACTGTCACTGTCTCAGATGGACTTAATCTTCTCTGATCGACTGGTAATGAGTATAAAACTTGTTGTTTTGTGTTGCAGTAGAATTATCATCTGCAGAGAGAATTTCCAAGAATCTGCGAGTTGAACTTCAAGGGAATAAAAATCTATCTGGCCTTTGTTTTTCTAACACATCTTCCTCCCATCTGGTTTGGTGACAGAGTTGCCAAGCCGTGATTCATTTGTTTGGGAAGTTCAGTCTAGCACTTAACTGCAACCTTGCAACTGCAAATGTGATTCACGTCTGAAGCGATAATGGATAACGATCTCTTGTGCTTTTACTGAACCTCATTACTTCGCAAAAAGTCACACCTGAGCAAACAGTCTGAGCTGCAAATAAGCAAACTACTTTGTGCTTTGTGACAAAACGGTAAATGGTGCAATATGTTTCATTTATAGTGTATAATCTCCTTTCTACTTTTTCTATTTCGAGTAGTGATTTTCTGTTTCCCTGAATGTCGTTCAGCAGTCGTAAACTCTCATTTTAAAGAATATGTGTTCATATAGGACTGTTAGTTTTTCTATTCTTTGCCCTCATAAAAAAATTGAAAACTGTTTTTAAACTAGAAAAACTGTTTTGCAGACAGATATATATTGACGGTATGATGTTATGAATATAACAACAGTCTATATGAGCTCTTGTGGCCTGGTATTGACGTTTGACGTTGCAATAAGCATATTGTTTATCGTCCTGCTGGCCTTCTGTGTATGGATTTATCTTTTCTCATACTTGTTAACTCAGCTATTGACACAAAAATTACGTTTAATGAATACTAAATATGCTATCTCATGTCTGCAGACACATTTGTGAGCTGGCCAATGCCGAGCCAATCATTAGCCAATGATGATCATGTCAAAATGGCATTTAATCAGGGCTATCACTAGTGGTTCAAAGTTGCTGTTTCCAGTACTCCCTACTGTACTGAAGTTATTGTCTGAACAAATGGAGATCGTCTCCAAGAGATCATGGTGTGTCACAGCATCAGCACAACAACACAACAAAGGAGCCCATCTCTTACACTTTTAGTGATGATAAATTTGCACATCAGAGTAAAAAGTGATATGAGTTGAAAAGGGAGAAAAGACAACTGACACAAGGAGCTGAGGAAAGATTGACTAAACTGGACTTAACAGCAATATTTTCTCTTTTATTTTAAATCTAAAGTCTGTGACGTTAATGACCCACCAATGCCACACTGCTTGTTTTGAATTTAGACCACGAAACCACGAGAGTGTTCACGCAAAAAATTTGAAGCAACAGTGGCTTTTAATTATGATCAATAGATTAAATGTCTGTTTTCAAAAGCACTGGCTTTTGGAAGCAGTGAAGGAGTATTAAAACCAGTTTACTTTATTTAAAACAATTAAAGTGCAGCCAGTTGGCCCACAGTAATACACTGTAGGTTACTCATCATGTCTCCATGTTAAACAATAGAGTGCAATCACCTTGAGGAACTGTGGCCCATGTCCCAGGAGACAGCATTTTAAAAGCTAATTGTGGAGGTATAACATGATTAACACCGAGCAAGATCAGCCATGCATAAGAAAGCAGTCACGGTTGTTGTTTAATGTTGTTATTTATTCAGCCGGGTGTCCAAGGATGGTTGTGTATGCATAGACTTTACATCTGAAATAAAAAAAGGGAAATTTGTATGTTAAGTCCAATTTGGCTTTAATCAGTCTTTCCTCGTTCCCTGTCATCTCTCTCCTTTCAGCTCTTTACAGGTCGGGCTTCTGGGTTGTGCTGCTGTGGAGCTGATCTTTGGGAGGTGATCTCCATTTGTTTAGACAATAACAAATGATTTGAGAAAGAAAAAAAAATCCCACAGTGTAATAACTCCCACAAGAGAGTAGTACAAAAGGGCAGAGAATGTGCCTACAGTGTGTGTGCAGGTAGCAGCAGAGCTTATTACTGACTATGCAACAGTGCATTTATACTCACTGCCTACTCATCCCAAGTGAAACAATCTGCTGACCCTTCCTCAAAGCCAAGGGACCTTATTGCTCCATAATTTCCTCAGGCATGGTGGTGGCATCAACATTGTTTGCAGCTTGTATATCAAATGATGATTGATGTGATCATATTGTGTGGGAGCAGCAGAAACCAGAATACAGCAAGTTTGCAAATAAAAGTAAACGGCACACTTATAACTGTTATCTCTAATAAGGCAGCAAGTACAAAACAAACCTCTGCTAACTCAGCCTGGACAACAGTCACTAATATAAAAGCAGCTGTCGTCATCAGCGTTTCACATACTGAGGTTAAAACATCAAACTGCATCACCTCAGCCGTCCCAGCCTGTGAGTCAAAGCACAGGGCACAGCATTCAGGTCTAGCGGAGCATCTTCTCAGATGATTTGTGATGTAATGCAGAATGTGGACGAGGGAAAATAATAGTACTACACACACACACACAGACAGAGACAAACCTACTGAATGTCCAGTACATCAGTGCAACCAAAGTGCAGTTACATTTGACAGGTTTTCGGTCAATCTGGAGCACTAAATAAATACATAAATGACTGTTGTGTTGGTGCTACACATATGTCAACCTGGTGTTACATCGGTGGTATTTTATTTATTATTCTTAAAAAACAAACAAAAAAAACCTAAACTAAATGCAGGCAAGAAAACAAGGTACAAGGTTTTGCTGTTGGTTTAGTGAAATTCTGAGTTTTTTATAGGATTGAATCTATGATGCCCCAAGTTCAGGATGTGCAATTGAGAAAATGTGTTTTTAGACAAGATCAAGCAAATGATTTTGATGTTAACATGTTCAGAACTGTTTTTGACTAGGGCATCATGTCATAAATATATAAATACAAGGCAGAACAAGGTGGCAATTGACACAAATCGACATTTTTTTTGATAAATGAGACCTTACACACATACATTTAGCGTCTTATTCTCGACGTGCATTCTGCCAAACTTGCTGGTTGAATAATCCTGAAGAAACGCTCTCTCCTCTTGCCTGTACTGCTGTGTATGTACAGCAAAATGACAATAAACTTGATTTGATTGTTGATTTGATTTGATACCAGAACACATTCATCATTCTGTGCAGTTTGTCAAGTGTCTCTGCGTGATTTAGACTCTGAGGCACAGTGCAGCAGTAATCGTATTAACAAAACTCATCAACTCACCTTGATTCCACAAAGAGCAGCTCCTTGGAGCACTGATAGACATCACATTTCTCTAAAGCGATTCTGGCTGTGCTTCTGAATGAAATGTTCCACTCGGTCGTATTCTTAGATTTTCGGCTTTGTTTACAGCTCTCAACGTCACAGAGGAGAAGGCGACATGCCCCCTTGGATATTTCCCCTGTGGCAACCTGACCGTTTGCCTCCCTCAGCTCCTGCACTGCAACGGCATTGACGACTGTGGAAATCAAGCGGATGAGGAGAACTGCGGTGAGTCACTGTTTCAGCTTGAACAAATGTTAATTAGACCATATACCGATGATCTCTTGCCTACATCTGCACTTCAACCGACACTGCTGGGCCATTAGATAACGCAGCTTTAAGCCTACACTGACTGTGTTATGCATAAATTAAAAACGAAATGATCATCCTTCTGATCTTTAATATTGAGATTTCGCCACAGTGGTGGTTTGTTGGTTGATGTGATAAACTGCTGGTATGTGTGCTATAAATACAGAAGCGATGGGTGTTGGTTGTGCATGGCAACTGTTGTTATGCTGTTGGAGAATTTCGGCGATGGAAACGCGGTGAGAGTGCACTGCTTCTGTGTCATTCATGTCCCTGACAGGTTTGATATTCGGCTGAGTGGGCGAAGGCATTGACATACAAACATATAAACAGCAATTTATGGCAAACTGTCTAAATGGAAACAACAAAGCAGAAAATCTTGCTTTTTGCACACGCACAGTTTTAGGTGTGAATCTACAATACGCAAAGTTTTTTGAATCTTGGCTTTGATGCGTCGATAAGGACAGTCATCGGTCTTGTGATGACTATAGGTTTGAAGGTGAGAGTGTGCCTTCGTGCATTTTAGGAATAAATTGAAATGAAATGGAGACGCATGGATGCCTTCTTGCTGCATGCATGTAGACACCAACCCTCACGGATACAGATATCACACAAGGCACTCCTTGTACCGCGTTCTCACTGCTCTTTAGTTACATCACGTTTGCCTGTGTGGTATATCTCGGAGTCCTGCGCGGTTCCAGAGCCCTCCACTTGAGGGGCTCCCTGAACTGGACTTGACCTTGGCCTGTAGGGGAAGGCTCAGTGATGGCTGCTGGCACAGGCATTAAAATTCAAACTGCTGGGTGTCAGGATACTGGTGGGGTGCAGGACAACACAAGCCAACAGACAAATGATAAGATCAAATATATTTTTTTAAAAAAGCTCAGTGATAGAAGCAAACTGCATGATCCTTTTTTTTTCAGGGTATTATGTACATTTGTGTTTCTGCGTGGGGCTGCAAGGTGGTTGGTGGGTAGCACCATCGCCTCGCAGCTAGAAGATCCCCAGTTAGGATACCATGGATCTTTCTGCATGGAGTTTTGATGTTCTCCCCGTGCAGCGTGGGTTCTCTCCGGGTTCTCCAGCTTCCTCCCACGCAGTCCAAAAACATGTTGAGGTTAACTGGTGATTCTAAATTGTCTGTAGGTGTGAATGTGAGTGTGCTTGGTTGTCTGTCTCTAAGTGTAGCCCTGTGATACACTGGTGACCTGTCCAGGTGAACCTGCCTTCACCCTGAGTCAGCTGGGATAGACTCCAGCCCCCCACGACCCTAGTGAGGGTTAAACGGTGTAGCTATAGATGATGGATGGATGGATGGAATTTCTGCGTACAACTCACTGACTGAGATATGCATTCATACCTCCAGAATCCTTAGTATTTTATACACAATGTGGATCTTGTCATTAAATATTTAACCCATCTGCCCCAAGACTTTTCTGTGAGCTGATGAGTTGTTCTAAAAGCTGTTAAAAACGTCAGGTACTGTCAGTAAACACTGTAAAAAACAGGCCTTATCGTCATTTCTCTATTCTATTAATTTCAACCATTAATTTCCTACTCAGCCTTTTTTTTTAGTTTTTTTTTCACAGGACTTTTGTGGGTTACTCATTTGATTCTTTCTAGTTGGACCTCTGAAGACCTGTTGAATTGTTGTAATGAATTATTCAGCATAAATAGAAATTGAACTTGTGAAGGATCTCTAACAATGTCATTATGTACGCTCCAAGACTCAAAGGGATATTGTGTCAAGAAGGACAACAAAATTAAATAATCCCAAATGTAAAAGGCAGCACTTCACAATAATGTAATTTATTGCTGGAGCTTCCTTTGCTTCTGATCCAAAGCTCAAATTTGGGGAAAAAACAAAAAAGGCTTGTGCATGACTGATTGACTGAATTTATCCTGGTGACACGATCATCAATCAGGACTCCTGCACTGAAACAGGTGCAGCTTATAAAACAGCTGTCAGATGATAATAGATGACATTTTGTTCACTGCTATATTAAGCAGTACGCCATGACAGATATAATACTACAGTGAGTGCCAGCACAGACTTGTTAGATTGCTGAAACTTGTCCTCCTTTTTTCTTGTTCTTTTTCAAACTTCTCTCCAAATCAAACTCCTCGTTGACACACACACACACACACACACACACACACACACACACACACACACACATACACACACACTCATTCTTGGTTTCAGCAGTACTGTCCAATTACATACTCCACCCTGAACATCACCACAGCATAGCAGTTGGATGTCCCAAGCAGCAGTGGGCAAGTAGAGCATAAATATTAATAATATTCCCTACTGGTCAGTATGCTGCTGCGGTGTTTGTATCTTGCCTGCCTGCAGCACTGCTCATGCTGGGCAGGAAGCCTAAACACCAGCCGGGCTGGTTGCAGCACACAACCGGCGGCTGATTCTGTTCCATATATTGAATCTTTTCAAAGGTGAGTTTGAATTAATTCATCTTAGGAATTCACCTTTTGACTTTCATTCCAACAACATGTGAAGGAACTGATAGCGTCTGCTGCAAGTTACCATGTTATGATTTACATGTGGAATTAAAAGCAGAAAACACTAGTAACTATAGTATGTGTAGCTTAACCCTTTGAAACCCAAAAACCAGCCGGTGGGATTGAAATGTATGTTATCTTTAATTTACCTCCAAAATGACACCGTTTATTAGAGCCAGAAACTTTAAAAACACACAGAATGATCAAATTTTGAGCTTCTTGACAGTCCTTGAACTAACCACCTGTGATGTGCTCTGCTGTTAGACAACTTAACTGAAGCTAAGCATAGAATGAGTATATTTCATAGACATCATTTCATGTTTCACTTTATTTTCCTGTACATGTCTCATCTAGAAATGTGCTGAAAATACACTGTCTGCAATCACAAAATTCTAAATAAATCTGAGCTTAGAAAACTGCAAAGCCACAGTAAAGAAGTCACTATTTTTTTCCAAGCACTTGTGCACGCTTGGAAAAATGTTGTACATCTTGATTTCATCCATCCATCCATTATCTATACACCGCTTAATCCTCACTAGGGTCGCGGGGGGGCTGGAGTCTATCCCAGCTGACTGAGGGTGAAGGCAGGTTCACCTGGACAGGTCACCAGTCTATCACAGGGCTACACTTAGAGACAGACAACCAAGCACACTCACATTCACACCTACGGACAATTTAGAATCACCAATTAACCTCAACATGTTTTTGGACTGTGTGGGAGGAAGCCGGAGAACCCGGAGAGAACCCACGCTGTATGGGGAGAACATGGAAACTCCACGCAGAAAGATTCCGGTGCCCCCACCGGGATGCGAACCAGCAACCTTCTACCAACTGCACCACCCTGCAGCCCTTGATTTCAGCTTGTTGTTTTTTTAAATTGTTGTAAAACAAATAATCAAAGAAATTGTTAAAGTTGCAACTGAGCCTGAAATTAAACAGGCAAACAGGTTGGTGAATAGTTCTCTGCTCCATCTTCCAGGCAAACAGACCCATCGAGCTCCATTTGGGCGTTTAACACAGCAGGCAGGTTTTTAAAGTGCAGAGAGCATCACTCTGTCAATAAAGGGAAATTGGTTCTCAAGGTTTTGGAGGCGTTCCAAACATTTAAATGGCACAGAAATCGGAAACTTCCTCTCTTAGTCATAAACAACCGCAGCCTTCCTCACAGGTGGGAGAGGTACAAAACACCCGTCCCACCCCACGCCTCCGTGATCGACGGTGTGCATGTGGTGAAGAGTTTAGACGAACAAACACAGCTTTTCCTCGGTGCAGTTAAACAGCTTGATTTTCACAGTGAATTGTCATTTTGTTGTCCTCGCTCTGACATTGTCCTCTTGTTTGCTGTTTTCAAGAAAATATATCTGTTTAGTTTTTTTGTTTTTTTTCTTTCACGAGCATTCTGCGCAGAAGGTTTGTGTAAGTGCTCTTTACTTCAGAGATGCAGCTCTGTGTATTGCCGTGAAAAATTAGCAGACAGAGAGTAGAAACGTAACAGGAGCAGAAACATGCTCCAAATTCATTAACAACGGTGCAGTTTGTTGCAGGGCTGTTGTAATAGATTGTATGAAACTGCAGAGGTGGACCTAATATTCCATTATCAAACAATGCACATTGATTTTTGCATTGATGGACAGTTAATAGCTCCATTGGCAGAATAAGAGACTCTCTCGTGCAGAGAGTTACAAACGGTAATCCTTCATGTATTTTTTTTGTCAACCAGTAATGGAACAACATGCTGTGTGAATCTTAATACTGCTAAAGTTTTTACTGTGGCTGACGAGAGATTTAAACACAATGGCTGCAGCTGATTAGAAGCAAAGCAGGGCTTTGGAGCTGGTGAGACTTGTGAATGAAACAGACAAATCTGTGTGACAGCCCGGCAGCGTCCTCATGTAGAGCTACGTTTTACATAAGCGATTGTCTCTGACCTCCTGATGACCCCGACTGGCTGCACTAATCCATCACATCATACTCATCCATGATTCAATTGAAAAAAAAGAAAAAAAAGAAAAAGGATCTGTCTTGGAAAAGGGCTAGTGTAGTAAAAAACAATAAGATCCAACCAAATTCCCAACTCTGTGTCTTCACCATCGTTTTGATCCACTCTCACTACCTTCACCGTTGTCATTTCTGGCTGATTTTAGCTTTTGTAATGTCAAATGGGAGACGAGCTAGCGACTAACAAAAGAACATCAAGAAGCAAGTGTTTTTCTGAAGAGCCAGATATTTCTCGTGGAGGTTATCAGGGATCAAAACAGTGCTAAAAGGAAAGTGACTAAACCAGTATAGCTGTGGGCTGAGCAGCTAAACAATGAAATAAAACTCACTTAGAAGCTCCGTAAAGCCGGAGGAGCTGCAGAATCGGTTGGTAATTCTACGTGAGTGGCCTTTTAACATTG